CCCCCCCCCCCCCTAGAAAGTTTTCTGCGGGCGCCCATGCCATAGAGCAACTATTGCAATTATAGCCATGGAGCAATATTAGAGCAATTATAGCCATAGAGCAATTACTGAAATTATAGCAATTACACCAATAATAGGAATAACAGCAATTATAGCTCTGATAAAACAACATATAATCTACTGTTTGCTTATACATGTGACATTTTCTATCACATTCTGTCATGTGTGACACAGTATTGATTTTGTTAGTTACCATTTGATTGTTTGTTATTTTATTAACAGCTATAGATTTAGCACGGATGGATTTCGTTGAAATATACGTCGTTAGCAAGTCGGTGCACTTGGTTGTATACTTGTAACAGATGCGGTCAGTGTTTCTTTCCGTCATCTTTTCCCCAAAGAGGGGGGTCATTTCAGAATTTCGGGGGGGGGGGGAAGTGGCAGAGTTGTAGCTAAGGGGTGGCAAATGGGATATACGCCCCGGGGCGCCAGACTAGTGGGGGCACCAAAATGGGCTTTGATAGTATTTGATGGTTGAAAACAATTAGTTTGAGAGTTGAGGTAGGGCGCAAAAATGAATCATGTCCACTGACGCCAAACACTCTGGCTCTCACCCTTCCAGTGGCGTAGAAAGGAGGAGAGTGGGGTTGCACATCCTGGTGTCACGACCTCTTTATATGGAGGTGCGCCATTTTCGGACAACTGCACAGTTCGTATCGTGAAAGGGAGAGTGGCTAAAATAGTCTCTCCCCCCCCCCCCATGGTGACACCAACAGGAGCTACGCCTCTAGGCAGTGTATCTCTCGTCACCAAAATTATCGACCATTTTCATCGGGTTGTACTGTGGAAATCGAGGGCGCCGATGAATCTTGCTTTTGTTTATATAATTAAAATCAAAACAAAGATCATAATGTTAAACTCGGCCAACCAAGAGCATATCTCTCTGGTAGGAAATTCACTGGAAGAAGTGGAGGCCTCCACATACTTAGGCAGCACCAATGGTTTAAATGTTGTATCCTGAGCAGATGTCAGGGGCCTAGAATTGGAAAGGCGAGGTTAGCATTTGTGCTTTTAAAGATAATATGGGATTAAAAGGAACTGACTATTCAAACCAAAGTCAGTATTTTCAACACAAATGTCGAAACAGTCCTACTAGATGGAGCCGACAATTGTAGAGCAAAAGCGAGCATTATGCAGAAAGTACAGACCTTCATAAACACAAGTCTTGTCTTTGAAAGATCCTGAACATCAAATGGCCAAACACCATCTACAACAAAGACCTACTAGATGGAACACACCTGGAGCCTATTGCTGAAGAAACCATAAGAAAAAGATGGATTTGGATAGGGAACACTCTCCGCAAACCCCAAGATAACATCACCAGACAATCCCTTACATGAAATACATAGGGAAAAAGAAAGAGAGGAAGCCCTAAAAATACATGGAGGCGCGAGCTAGAGGCAGACACACAAAGTATGGGATACACATGGAAGCAACTGGAAAGAAACGTCCAGGAACGAGATAAATGGAAAATTCTTGTAGATTCCCTATGCCCAAGACGGGGTAAAAGGCATACGTAAGTAGGTAAGATGAATTTTTAGCGATGAGCGTCTCCCCAGAAATCTGTTATTATTTCAAAATTAAAGAGGTGCATTTTAGAGTACAGTTGAATTCAGTGTTTCTATTAGACTTTTTTAAAACAGGGGATGGAAATGTTTAAGGGAGGCATTATGATGCCAGTGCCATACATAAACTGAATTCACATTAGTTGTGGCGTGCCCCAGGGTCATGATTTGGCACAAGATTATATACAACCTCATTATGTAACATTGATCAGCGTGAAGGAAGGGGTGCAGAAATCAAGGTGCCGAAGACAGTCGCGTCGCGCAAATTCAAAAATGCATGGGGGCATTTTGGAGCATACTTGAATTCAGTGTTTCTTTGTAACAATTTTTATATGAAATTTCAAACTTTCGTGTGGGAAGCTCCAAATTTAGCCACAATAATGAATTAAGACATCTTTAACGCCGCACCGGGGAGGACATGAACTAAATTCATTCCCGCTGTCGTGCCCTTGAGGGTAGGCATTTTCCCGAGCTTAATACCGCCTATTAAATGTTCATAGTCCCCATAAAAAGTTTTGATAAATTCAAAATACAAGAATGCCTTTCAAAACTTTAATTTAGTTTTGCAACATTCTACACTTGGAGAGCGACGGAAGAGATGCTAATTTAAAAAAAAAAATATATAGGTGTCACTTAACCTTAGAAACATCACGTGAGCCCGGCAACCCCTACGACTGCGGTCGGCCTCGGATATTTTAGGGGCTTAAAGATGTGATGTGGATAGTTCTTACTTATCTATCTCTCAATGCAAGGTGGGGGAGGGAAACAAACAAAACAAAAGGAGTCTCGAAAAGTTGAGCGATGGCTCTGCTTGACCTGCTGATGTTATGCAATGTTTTTTTTTTTATATATTACTAAAATTAAATAGTAATGTGGCTTTCATTAGTTTACTTAAACCTTTTTGGGGCGTAACTAACTACATAGATAATTAATGAATTTTCAGAAAAAAAAAAAGATTTCTTTCACAAAAAGCATTGCTAAAATCATTTTATACGCTGAACGCAAATGACAAAACATACGAATAATAATCAAATAACGGGTAATAATTACCTTTGATAAATATTTCAAAGTTTTACATGAGTCAAAAAGAAGAAGAAAAACTGTTAAGTAGAAAGATCTATACTTTTTTTTTAAAGTGTAATCAAAACAGTTCATTTTTATAAATCGTATAGGAACGCCATTA